TGTTGGGCTTTGGTGATTGGGCCTAGATGGATTGGGCCGAATTGAAAGAGAAGGAGAGCGGGAAAGTGGGAGAGGAGGCAATGTATCAAAACCGACCTTGAGTTTGACCAATTCTATCGTTTTAGTCCTTTTGGTAATAAATATTTTTCGTTTTGGTATCTTTTAATTACTTAAATTGATCATGGAGATTCTTAAATATTATGGAATATATGAGTGATAATTGAGGTATTTGGCTCAGGTGGTAAATAATTTTTATTTTTTTTTACTGGTGTTGTTATTTTGAATATAAGTCTTTAAATTCTTGAAAAAATGTAAGTGTAATTCAGAAAGTCTTTAAATTCTTGAAGAAGCTCATGATGGGATGCTGGAAATGAGTGTAATTCAGATAGTCACACATTGGTAATGTCTTGTATTACCATTCATCTTTTGTTCACCGAAGCTTTATGATATATTTGCTTGGATGAATCATGCCTTATCCACGCCCATGGTAGTTTTTTCCGGTGATGCATCTACTTGATTTACTCCGGTCCATTCACTGATCCCTTTTTATGAATATAAGGCAGGTACAGCTACTGTTCTTCACTGATGAAGCATCCAAAGAACGTGACTCAATCTTTTACCTCATGATGATGGAAAGTGCATATGAAATGATCTATAGAACTGTGGCTAAACCTTTTCTAAAAGGCTTTCCCTCTTCATGGTGGCTAGGCTTGGACTGGAATTGAGCAGAGAGCAAAAATGTGGCCTCCCATTGCCTGTAAACCCAAGTTTTGGCCGCTGAGAGTTGGCATGTCAGCCATCACTGGAAACAATGGCCAGCTGTTATCAAGAAGTCAGTCGTGAAGTCAACTGCCAGAGCGAATCAGGCTAACTTGTAATTGATCCATAAAGGACAAAGGCAATAGTTTTGTTGTTTCGTAATTTGATACTGCATGGGGAGAGGAGAATATCGATAGCCTCCATCGTGTCCCCTTGCATGAGGGTGGTGGCTTACAGACAGACAGACAGCCATCCACTGTAAGCTACTCATGATGGAAGGAACCACCCGAGCAAGGGTCCATGTCCATTGCAGAGTTTATGGCTGGGAAAAGAGGACAATTACACAAGTAGCCTAGTAGCCCGCAGCCCTTGTCAGGGGCAATACCAATACCACTTGTGCAATGCTTGTTAGTTATGGCTGTTTGCACTCTAAATTATTCTCGATCTTTGTTTAATAAAAGATGAAAAAACTGCCCCTAGTGGAGTTATGCTTCGTCCTGCTTCACCGATGCTGGCTTATAATTGCTTGTGGACCACAATTAGGTGCTTAAAAGGGAAAAACGAGGAGAAACAGAGCCCATATTTAACCGAACTAGCAAAAATGGAAAATTGCTGGCTAGGATTATAGATAAAAAAACCTAACACAAGGGTTGACTGTTGAGCGGGTTAATCATGGATTATCTCGAACTTTTTTCTTAAAAATTGGATTTTTTTCGTTGAACTGGTTCGGAAGAGAAAAAAGGGCAAACCTCAAAAAAAAAAAAATCACACTTATAAGAGATCTCAATTATATTTCTAACTTGTAACATATGATAATAAATTATATATTATCAAAACAAGCCAGGTTTTGTAATTTTGGGAGATTGCTCTTAAAGGTCGGCGACTGTCACGAGGTTCGCCAACAAGAAGACTCCGGTCAGTCACTAGCAAGTATGGCGTGGAAGGTTTCTATAGTTGTGTGACAGGGTAGATGATTCTAATAAATTCTTGAGTAGGAAGCGAGCTAAAATGTGAAGAAGATCTGCATAGACACAGACACCAATAAGCATGAGGGCATGTGAGAACTTAAATAGACAAGGAAGTTGAAAGTTATCTTCCACTTCACTTTCTCCAATGCTGTAAGAATGCCTTAAATTCTAATGTCCCATCTACCTCCTGGCATCACCCAAAAAAGCAAATGCAGCATTAAATGCAGGATACAATATCAATCTCTCATGGAAGTATCATTATCAAGAACAAAACATAAGCGTAACCGATGACTGTGTGTGTGTGCGGTTTGCCTAAAAAAGCACTAAAAAGTCTCCTCATGGAGACAAACTCTGTGCCCTTTTCTGCAAGACCTCATTCGTATATCTCTCTGGCTCTTGTTCTCTTATATGTCGTTTCTTCTCCTTGTTCTGCTAGTCTCCTTTTCAATTTTTATGGAGCTTCATGCCCAGCTGCTGAACTTATTGTTTCAAACACAGTGAGATCAGCTTCCTCTTCTGACCCTACTATACCAGGGAAGCTAGTTCGTTTGGTTTTCCATGACTGCTTTGTAGAGGTGAGTCTTTCTTACCTGATGGGTGCTTAGTGTGTTATCTGAATTTGCTTCATGTGTGCCACAAAACAGCATTTTGGATATGGCATTTCACTAATATATCCCCGCATGGGAAAGAATATATGATTGAAAACTAACACTGCTTGATGATTTAAAGCAACAAAAAAAAAAAAAAACTTGTTCTAGAGTAGTTAAGGAGATTGAGCTATTGCAGTCTACATCTGTCATGCTTTAGCTGCTTGTTTTAAATCATCAAGGGCTCCTTCATAGGATTCTCCTTTTGCGATCTGATAGTATTAATTGATTTATCAGCACCCCAGAATAACTGGAATCATATTCTTATACCATGTAATTGGTGGCTACTCCTCAATTCTAGTTAGTTTTTGTTATGTTTAAAGGGTTGTGATGCATCTGTGCTGCTGCAAGGAAATGGGACGGAGAGAAGAGATCCAGGGAACAGGTCTCTAGGAGGTTTTCAAGTTATTGATTCAGCTAAAAGAAATCTTGAAATCTTCTGTCCAGGAACTGTTTCTTGTGCTGATGTTGTTGCTTTAGCTGCTAGAGATGCTGTTGCAATTGTAATATCTCTTATTGCCTTATTGGAACTATTATTCCTTGCCCATTTCTATGCTTCTTGTGATTGGTTATTGATTAATGAAGAATATGAAAACAGAGTGGTGGACCTCAGCTTCAGATTCCAACTGGTAGGAGGGATGGGAGGGTATCTGCAGCTGCAAATGTGAGACCTAATATCATAGACACAACTTTTACAATGAATGAGATGATTAGCATCTTCACAGCTAAAGGATTATCCCTTGAAGACCTTGTTGTGCTATCAGGTATGCGACAATGAGTCCAGAACTTTGTTAGAGCACTTCAATGCTAGAATGGTAGTTTCTGACATCAACCTAACAACTAACCGAGTAGAGGATGATCGGAGATTGCGTTTGAAAACGTGCTGTACCGAGCTCATGAACCATGGATATTGACTGTTTGTTGTCACATCCAGAAGACCTGTTGATGAAAAAAACTAAAATAAATGGCTAATTTATCAAGCTTACTGCTTTTGCTTTGCAGGAGCTCACACTATAGGATCAGCTCATTGCAGCGCATTCAGAGACAGGTTCCAAGAGAACTCCAAGGGGAAGCTGACACTCATCGACTCATCTCTAGACAAGAATTATGCGAATGAGCTAACGCAAAGATGTCCAGTTGATGCAAGCGATTCAGTAACAGTTGTTAATGATCCTGAAACATCCTTATCATTTGATAACCAGTACTACAGAAACCTTGTAGCCCACAAAGGCCTTTTCCAATCAGATTCTGTTCTTTTAGATGACAACAGGACAAGGAATCTAGTGGAAGATTTAGCAAATGATCAAGGGAGGTTCTTTGAGAGTTGGAGCCAGTCATTTCTTAAGCTAACCAGCATTGGAGTAAAAACAGGCGAGGAAGGGGAAATTCGACAATCTTGTTCAATGACGAATGGATGAAGGAGGAGGATTTTGTTGGCAAGCTTCATGTCAGCCCTCTCATGGTTATGGTGGAATCTACATGTCAAGGATGGATCAAAGTACATATGCATAACATATTTTAATTTATTTCTTTTTTTTAAAAAAAATATTTTCATTCAATTCAAGACATTAAATATATAAAAAAAATTGAGTATTTTTTTTCTTATGTAAAAATTATATTGTTTAAATATGTCCCATGACCCGTAACAGATATGGGAGTGTGTCTTTGATGGCTACTCCATGCCAGTTTATAGCACTTGAATTTAAAAGGTGATCAATCAAAGATAATATGATGGGTTTAAATAGAACACCTAAGTCTAGATATTCGGGTGAGCTTGGACTGACACTCGAACCCGGGTGCTTGGTATCTGCCCAGCACCTTTTTAATGGACTTTTTAGGATCTCAGGTGCATCACTTGAGCTTAATTCTTAAAAATAAATCTTTTTACGTTTTAATTTCTCCAAAAACATGTTTTATATATTTTTTTCGCATGAATATTAATATTTATGCAAGAGTATTTTATCTTTATAAATATCTCTTGAACCACAATATACAAAATCTAAATTTTTTTAATATAAAAAGCATATACTTAACACAAGAACAATTTAATTCTAAAAATTTAATATTTTTTAGCCTATTTATTATTCTATTTTTCTCTATAAATTTACTGAATCCTCAAACACCACAAGACACGACTTTTTACAATTATTTTAGAGATATCCTCTAAGATAATTTACTTGGAACAGGTGAAATGAATTATTTTAAAACATTTTATAAACTCATAATTCAAACAACTAAGAAACGTTATTCCACAGTCTTATTCCGCTGGTGTGTCTGATTTTAACACCCCATCAAAAGGGAAGACATCTAATAGTCCTTAATAATATCAAGAATGTCATATCTGGTCTCAATTAATTTTTTTATCTCAATTGAATCCTCAAGATACAAAAGTGAGAATTCTCAATGAACTCCCCTTCACGGAAGTTCATGGTATAAGAGGCTTTAAATTTGTGCATAGGAAATTCATGGTTTCCTTTTTAAAATTTTTGAGGAGTTTAGATGGAGAATTCAATTGAGAATGTCTATAAATACGTTGAAATAAAAAAATTCTTTGGAGACTCAATTTGAGTTATAGTTTTTCCAAAGAAACTGCTCAGTTTACCTGTCACTATGATGCCTACCGTTGAGTACTGTCTGATAACATTGTGTGGTAAGGATTGGTGCAAGCATCTCGCAAGCAACTTCCTGTCTTTCAGTTTGATACTCATCAATTCTTCTTCTCCTTTGTCCGCATGACTCCATTTTCTCTACTCTGTTCTACACATCTCTCACTGTCTCTTCCCCTGGAGTAACAGAACCACGTGCATGCATCATGGCTTCACCAATCCTTAAATTCCCATTTCTTTCTCACACCACTTCCCTCTCGAAGCCTCTCGCCCTTTATCCCCTCTCCCTCACTCCTAAACCAAGAAAAGCCTCGAGGCCAATACATGTAAAGCAGCAGCAGCAGCAGCAAGGGTCTATTAAGTGCCATGCAGTTACAGATCTTACAAGTGGTAATACTGTACCTTCATCAATTGAGGATCAGAGTAAAGGAGAGGATAATGATGATCACTTAGTGCTTGTGGGTCCTTCTAGTGAGGAGGAAAGGAGAGGAGAAAGAGAGGTGGCAGACTATGATTGGACAGAAGAGTGGTACCCACTTTATCTTACCAAGGATGTACCAGATGATGCTCCGTTAGGCCTAACTGTGTTTGATAAGCAGGTAGTGTTGTATAAAGATGGACAGGGTGAACTTCGCTGTTTTGAAGATAGATGTCCCCACAGGTAATAAATCTTATCACATGTATGTTTCAAGTTTTCTTGTCTTGTGTTGAGTACTAAAAGTTGGATCTTGCTTTGATTTCACATCCAAGAAAAGGGCATTCGGATTCTTTTCGTAGTTTCTTGTTTTGATGTTCTTATTGTGATTTCTCTTGTTTGGTTTTAGGATTTTGCTGGATATATAGTGAAATTAGCCGTGGTTTAGGTTTGGGATTAGATTGTATGCATGATTAAATAAAATTTTTGATTAATTAAACAAACTGCTGCACATTTGAATATGTATAAACCTTGAACTAAGTGTTGCGTATATGGTCTATTGAAATTGAATATATGGGGATGCTGTATTGCTAATGGTAATGAACAGAAATTCTTGGACTTTGATGGATCATCTGCATTTGATGGAAAAAATTTCCCTGCTCTATGGCGTTAGTCGTACTCAAAATTTCTGCGTGAAACACTGGCGAAATGATTGAGATCTTAAGATGTGGGCTGTGTAAGTGACAAAACCTTGAACTTGGCTCTACTTGATTTAGGTTAGCTAAACTATCAGAAGGTCAGTTGATAGATGGAAGACTCGAATGCCTATATCATGGTTGGCAATTTGAGGGGGAGGGCAACTGTGTCAAGATACCTCAGGTCTGTTTTCATTAAATATTGTGCTGTGTTTCCATTGCATGATATGCCCACCTTGTCTTTCCTCATGTCCTAGCTAATGATGGCAGTGAATTTCTTCGCTACAGCTTCCTGCAAATGCTAAAATTCCTCAGTCAGCTTGTGTCAAAACCTATGAGGTGAGGGAATCCCAAGGAGTGGTGTGGGTGTGGATGTCCTTGAAATCACAACCAAACATAAATAAACTACCCTGGTTCGAGAACTTTGCCAGGCCAGGTTTCAAAGATTCTTCCGCTGTCCATGAGCTTCCCTACGATCACTCCATACTTCTTGAAAACCTGATGGATCCAGCACATATTCCAATCTCACACGATAGGACAGACCTGTCAGCAAAAAGGGAAAATGCCCAGCCACTACGTTTTGAGGTGACTGAACGTACTGACCGGGGATTTGCAGGCTGGTGGGGAGGGGGAGATGCTCAAACATTGCCAAACTTCTTACGGTTTGAAGCCCCTTGTGTCCTATCCAATAACCGAGAATTCATTGATAAGAAGGGGGTGAAACAGTACTTCTCTGGCCTCTTCCTATGCAGACCAGCTGGACAAGGAAAATCCATGCTTATTGTGAGATTTGGAGGAACAGCGATGCCTCAAATAGCAAATTGGATCCCCGAATGGTTCTTTCATCAGAGGGGATGCACAGTCTTCGAGCAAGATATGGGATTTCTGTCATCCCAGAACGAAGTTTTAATGAAAGAAAAGGTCCCAACAAAGAAATTGTATCTCAATTTAAGGTCTTCAGATACATGGGTAGCAGAATACAGGAAATGGATGGACAAAACTGGACATGGAATGCCTTACCATTTCGGGCACAACACCATTTCCTTACCTGAATTACCAGCTGTTGTAGAACATGCACCCGCTGGTCTTGTTGCTGGCGTTTCAGCTTCTTTCCCAGCTAAGGGTGGCACTGGGACGATGCATGCTCCCAATTTGGCCAATCGATATTTTCGCCATGTTATTCATTGCAAAGGATGCAGTGGTGCTCTCAAAGCTTTCAATAGTTGGAAAAGAGCTCTTTCTGCCATATCTCTTGCATTGACTGCATTAGCTATTCTAGTGTCTGGAAGGCAGTGGAAAGCTGCCCTCTTAGTTTCAACAAGCTTATGCTTGGCCGGAGTTTTCGCATGCTCAACTCTTATCAAAATGAGCACAACAAACTTCATAAGAACACATAGGAGATTCTGAGCCAGCAAACTGTAATCATCTAGTATGTTTCTGTAGTTTTAGCACAGGAAGATTATAGAACTACATTTACAACCTTGAATAGTTCTATTTAGTAAATTATAGGTGTTTTGCCCTGTTTTCTAGTCATTAAGTTACTGTATTTTCACCTTTTTTGCTCGTTTTTCTAAAACTCAAGTACATTCAGTGCATATAAATTCTCACAAGAAACAAAAATGAAGAACAAAATGAGAGTTGTTATCAGGTTTCTCAACTCCAAAGCATCCAGGAGACTCTTAACCTGAACATGTCTCCGTGAAGTCAAATGTAAATCTACGTGAGGAGAAGATGTGTGGTCAGGAAAAACTGATAAAATCAAGAAAACCAGGAAAAACCAAACACATCTTTATTGGATTCTGTTGATTCTTCCGAGTATAAAGATACTCCATGGTGGAGTAAAAGCATTGCCACACAGCAGCTGCTAGTCCAAAATACTCCAGGAGACCACCAAAGGGTTGGCTCCTCTGAACTCCTTCCTTTCGTGCCTTACAAATGAGATCAAGGCTGGAAAGAAACAAGGCGAGGAATGATATCACCATGCCCATTAACGCGTACCCCACCTGATCAAAAACTGCAGACATGGCCTCTAGAAGTACGCTGGTGATTAACAAAGCCCACTCTGTTGTTTTCTGCACCAAAAAAATTAAAACCAGTATAATTATAAAAATTTAGATGCATTTTTATTTTTTGTAAATTAAAAGAATTGATCAATGTAGCATCACATTACCCAAGGTCATTAGCTCTGCATATTAAAGAAGGGAACAAGGAGTAAATGGAAGTTGTAGAATTCAATGTAGAATTGATCAATGTAGAATTCAACCTCATTGATTTGATCTTTTGATCTTGAGTAGAAAGCTGCAACTTCAACTCAACTTTTACTTCATATCGGTTTTGAAGCTTCAATACAATTTCATCAAGTGGCACATGAAGAGTCCCTTCAATACAATTTCATCAAGTGGCACATAAAGAGTCCTATAGTCTATAGTCTGGGGTGTGTATGGGTGGCCAACCCTGTAAAGATCCAAAACAACATGTTTGAAAATTAGAATTGCAAATATTTGATCCATATACACAATTGAGATAATAATGAAACAAGGCGTATATAGGAATTGTAGAATCCGACCACTCTACATTTATATGGCCCCAACTTTGGCTCAACTTTCACTTCAGATTGGTTCTAAACTTGCAATGTAATTTTTTATGGTGGCTCAACTTTCACTTCATATCGGTTCTGAGCCTCCAAGTCAATTTCATCGGGTGGCATATGAGAAGCTATGTGGTTCAAGGTGTGCCTCGATGGTGCCCCCCTCTACAAAGATCCAAAACAATATGTTGTTTGAAACTTAGAATTGCAAAATTTTGATCCATAAACACAATTGAGATGGTGATGAAACAAGGAGTAAATAAAAGTTGTAAAATCTAACATCATTATCTTTATATCGCCTCGACTTTAGCTCAACTTTTATTTTAGATTGATTTTGAGATTCCAATGCAATTTCATCGGGTGGGACATGAGGAGTCTGATGGTCTGAGGTGTGCCTGGGTGGCCAACTCTGTAAGGATCCAAAACAACATGTTGTTTGAAAATTAGAATTGCAAAAATTTGATCAATATGCACAATTGAGATGGTGGTGAAACAAGAAGTAAATGGGAGTTGTAGAATCCAACCGCACTATGTTTATATAGCCCCGATTTTGGCTTAACTTTCACTTCAGTCGGTTTTGAACATGCAATGCAATTTTCTCTAGTGGTTTAACTTTCATTTCATATTGGTTCTAAGCTTCTAAGTCAATTTTATCGGGTGATACATGAGAAGCCCTGTGGTCTGAAGAGTGCCTAAGTGGTGGCCCCCTCTGCAAGGACCCAAAATAACATGTTGTATGAAACTTAGAATCGTAAAAATTTGATCCATAAACACAATTAAGATGGTGATGAAACAAAGAGTAAATGAGAGTTGTAGAATCCAACCACACTATGTTTATATTGCCTCGATTTTGGCTCAATTTTTACTTCAGATTGATTCTAAGTCTCCAAGCCAATTTTATCGGGTAGCATACGAAGAGCTTTGTGGTCCGAGGTGTGCCTAGATGGTGCCCCCCTCTACAAAGACCCAAAACAACATGTTGTTTGCAACTTACAATTGCAAAAATTTGATCCACAAACACAATTGAGAGGATGAAATAAGGAGTAAATGAGAGTTATAGAATCCAACATCACTATATTTATATCGCCCTGATTTTGGCGCATCTTTCACTTCAGATTGGTTTTGAGCCTCTAAGCCAATTTTATTAGGTGGCATATAAGGAGCTTGTGGTCCGAGGTTTGCCTGGGTGGTGCCCCCATCTGTAAGTACCCAAAACAACATGTTGTTTGAAACTTAGAATTGCAAACATTTGATCGTTAAACACAATTGAAATGGTGATGAAACAAGGAGTAATTTGGAGTTATAAAATCCAACCGCACTATATTTATATTGTCTAGACTTTGGCTCAATTTTCCCTTCAAATCGTTTCTGGGCCTTCAAGCCAATTTCATCAGGTGGCATATGAGGAGCCTTGTGGTGTGAGTTTGCCTAGATGGTGGCCCCCTCTACAAGAACCCAAAATAAGATGATGTTTGAAACTTAAAATTTCAAAAATTTGATTCATAAACACAATTGAGATGGTGATGAAACAAGGAGTAAATGTGAGTTATAGAATCCAACATCACTATATTTATATCGCCCCGATTGTAGCTCATTTTTCACTTTAGATTGGTCTTGAGCCTTCAAGTCAATTTTATCAGGTGGCATATGAGAAACCTTGTAGTCTGAGGTGTACTTAGATGGTGCCCCCTTCTGTAAGGACCCAAAACAACATGTTGTTTGAAACTTACAATTGCAAAAATTTGATTCATAAACACAATTAAGATGGTGATGAAACGAGGAGTAAATGTGAGTTATAGAATCCAACATCACTATATTTATATCGCCCTGATTTTGGCGCATCTTTCACTTCAGATTGGTTTTGAGCCTCTAAGCCAATTTTATTAGGTGGCATATAAGGAGCCTTGTGGTCCGAGGTTTGCCTGGGTGGTGCCCCCATCTGTAAGTACCCAAAACAACATGTTGTTTGAAACTTAGAATTGCAAACATTTTATCGTTAAACACAATTGAAATGGTGATGAAACAAGGAGTAATTTGGAGTTATAAAATCCAACCGCACTATATTTATATTGTCTAGACTTTGGCTCAATTTTCCCTTCAAATCGTTTCTGGGCCTTCAAGCCAATTTCATCAGGTGGCATATGAGGAGCCTTGTGGTGTGAGTTTGCCTAGATGGTGGCCCCCTCTACAAGAACCCAAAATAAGATGATGTTTGAAACTTAAAATTTCAAAAATTTGATTCATAAACACAATTGAGATGGTGATGAAACAAGGAGTAAATGTGAGTTATAGAATCCAACATCACTATATTTATATCGCCCTGATTTTGGCGCATCTTTCACTTCAGATTGGTTTTGAGCCTCTAAGCCAATTTTATTAGGTGGCATATAAGGGAGCTTGTGGTCCGAGGTTTGCCTGGGTGGTGCCCCCATCTGTAAGTACCCAAAACAACATGTTGTTTGAAACTTAGAATTGCAAACATTTGATCGTTAAACACAATTGAAATGGTGATGAAACAAGGAGTAATTTGGAGTTATAAAATCCAACCGCACTATATTTATATTGTCTAGACTTTGGCTCAATTTTCCCTTCAAATCGTTTCTAGGCCTTCAAGCCAATGGCTCAATTTTCCCTTCAAATCGTTTCTGGGCCTTCAAGCCAATTTCATCAGGTGGCATATGAGGAGCCTTGTGGTGTGAGTTTGCCTAGATGGTGGCCCCCTCTACAAGAACCCAAAATAAGATGATGTTTGAAACTTAAAATTTCAAAAATTTGATTCATAAACACAATTGAGATGGTGATGAAACAAGGAGTAAATGTGAGTTATAGAATCCAACATCACTATATTTATATCGCCCCGATTGTAGCTCATTTTTCACTTTAGATTGGTCTTGAGCCTTCAAGTCAATTTTATCAGGTGGCATATGAGAAACCTTGTAGTCTGAGGTGTACTTAGATGGTGCCCCCTTCTGTAAGGACCCAAAACAACATGTTGTTTGAAACTTACAATTGCAAAAATTTGATTCATAAACACAATTAAGATGGTGATGAAACGAGGAGTAAATGTGAGTTATAGAATCCAACATCACTATATTTATATCGCCTCGACTTTGGCTCATCTTTCACTTTAGATTGGTTTTGAACCTCCAAGTCAATTTCATCAAGAGGCACATGAGGAGCCCTATGGTCCGAGGCGTGTCTAGGTGGTACCCCTCTGTAAGGACCCAAAACAATTTGAACTTAAAATTGCAAAAACTTTATCCATAAATATAATTGAGATGGTGTTGAAACAATGAGTAAATGAGAGTTATAGAATCCAACTACATTATATTTATATCGCCTTAACTTTGGTTGAATTTTCTCTTCAGATCGATTCTGAGCCTCCAAGCCAATTGCATCGAGTGGCACATGAGGAACCTTATGGTTCGAGGTGTGCTTAGGTGGTGTCCTTTTTTGCAAGGATGCAAAACAACATGTTATTTGAAATTTAAAATTGTAAAAATTTGATCAAGAGGAGTAAATGAGAGTTCTAGAATTCAACATCACTATATTTATATTGCCCCGACTTTGTTTCAATTTTCACTCCAGATTAATTTTGAGTCTCCAAGCTAATTTTATTGGGTGGTATATGAGAAGCTTTATGGTCTCTGAGGTGTGTCTGGGTGGTGCCTCTGGGTGGTGCCCCTCTACAAGGATGCAAAACAATATATTGTTTGAAACTTGGAATTGTAAAAATTTGATCAAAAAACACAGAGATGGTGATGAAATAAAAAGTAAATAAAAGTTGTAGAATCCAACCGTGCTACATTTATGCAGGCCCGAATTTGGCTCAACGTTCACTTCAGATTGGCTATGAGCCTGCAATGCAATTTTTTCTGGTAGCTCAACATTCACTTCAGATCGATAATGAGCCTCTAATGCAATTTCATCCTGTAGCACATGAGGAGGCGGGGGTAACAAAATCTCAACCAATTCGTTTCTCCGAAATGCACGTCTGCGAAGTTCGGAGGTAGAGATCATTATACTTCCGCTGCTATTGGGTCTAGTCTGATTGTCCATTCCTCTAGCTCGTGACCAGGATATCTACCTGATAGCTTGTGTCCGGGATGAGAGGTTTAAAATCTGTCAGCCTATGGCAAGAAAAAATAAGGGGTTGCTGCCAGATCAGGCATGCAGCTTACAATTAGAAATCAGAGGAAGAGCTGAAAACGTAAAAAGAGATGGTAACAAAGGAACATTTAGAGGATAGAATATTAAGGTTCTCTGGCTATATCTACCAAGTTATCTGCTTGAAAAAGCCATTCAACAAGGAAAACATGAAATTGTTCTTCTATTTGATATCAGTTTCAAACTTCTTAACAAATCGTACAGCATCAAGTTTAGTCATCTTGAAACTTGAATGCCCAAAAATCCGTCGATAACAAGTGACGTGCTCATGCAATAACATGTATTCCATATCTCAAGCTCCAATGCTAGGCCTATTTGAAAACCACATAACCACATGTAATAGAAACAGAACGTGAAACTGACGGAGAAAACATGGTGATGCAGGAAGCACTTAAGCCGTAGAAAGGAGAATGAAAGCCCACACATTAAACAATAAACACACACACGAGTAAACATTATGCCCTTGTTTTTGAAAGTTCAAACACTTGAAAGAAACACAGACGGGAAAGCAAACATACGCCCTTATTTGTGGAGGTTCGCGCGATAATGACTAAACACTACATGCGTAAACATGCAGAAATACCTCATAAACAATTTTTGTCCAATACCCCACGAATTGATTGACAGAGACAAATTACTGGGATCATGAAGAAATATTCCCTCAAATAATTCAGGCGAGACTAACTCATCTCTGATAAATGCAACATCTACTGACGCAATATATGTCTCAGTTTGACATGACTCCACCCAGAAACACCCCCCCCCCCTTTACTGCTTCAAGAATAAATCCAGATGGTTTGTTTTTTTTATAATAATCAAATTTTATTGATGATTACAGAACTCCATTAAATATATGAAGTTCTGCCTGGAAAGCGTTGAAGGGATCAGGCATACAAGAAAGAAAACGATATATATACACGATAGAAAAGATAAACAGTTAGCAAAAGAAAATAACTAACACGGAAAAATGCAGAAGCCACATATAGATGACTGGAAACGAAGAAAACACCATATAAATGCAAGAAACAAGAAGGAAAAAAGGATCATAGAGCATAACGATGATACCTCGATCGGTGCGTGCTTTGAGAGGGAAAATGTTAGCGCAGCCTGGAGTGTGGAGATCGAGTACTGTCCTGCAGTGCAGAGAGAGGGAGGGAGATGATAGTTACCCGTGATCTTCACTTCATTAATCAGCCTCCGTCCAGAGTCTAAGAGAGAAAGAAAACCAAATTTCTATAGCCAAAGAACCGCTTCGTGGAGCAACTGAACTGGAAGTAAGAAAGCCCGGTGACATGAAAATAAATAAGCACGCGGTTTTGCTTCTGCTTGGCAATGCCAAGGAAATTTCTTAGAAATTCAGGGATCAAAAGCAGTCGTGCTCTTAATTATTTAACAGTGCTATTTGATAAAAATGTCTAGTTCAAATGGTCACGTGCAAGTTTTGTTAGATCACCTCAGATGCTAAAGAACTACCGTTATTTTTGGTGGTTTAATAAAGAGATGTTAAAAAAGCATCTTAACATCTTTTTAGATTTGATATTTATATATATTTATATTAATTTATATTTAAATTTTTATTAAATAAATAAAAATAATAAAATTTAAATTTATCATCGTTTAGTTATCAAGATTCTAATATCATATTAAAAAATTATCTCAATCTAATAATTTAACCTATTAAATAAAATTCTAAAATATAATTTATATTATTATCTAATAAAATATTACTTTATCTTTTAGACTGCATTGCTACCAAACATAATTCTATTTTTTCTATCTTATTTTCCTTATTTTTATTTTTATTTCTCTACTATTAAATATTTTTTAAAAAAATATTATAAAAATCTAAATAAACCTGTTTATATTTTTAAATAACTTAAAAAATAATTCAAAGATAAAAAAAAACAACTTAAAATCAAGATTTCTCAGAAAATATGAAGATGAAATAACATATCTTTAGAGCTTCTTTTATCAAATAAAATTTATTTTTTTATGATTTAAATTGGTATTAACTAACAATTTTTTTTCTATACCAAAATTTACATGACTTTTTTATTTTTCCATAAAAAAAAATAAAAAATATTTTAAAAAATAACATAATTTATTTAATCAGTAGAACCAAAAAATATATTCAAGGAAGTTTTTTCAACCTCTCAACTACCTATCATAAAAATACAACCTAGCTTCACTATTCAAATATAACTTACAATTCATCTCTCCAACACAATTAAAAAATTAACAAACTTCATAATTCATAAAAATTAACAATTAATTTATAATTTATAATTAAACACAATAATTTATTCATTTAATTTAAACAAAACGCATAACTCAACGTAACAATGTGCCCATTACAAGTTGAAACGTCACAAAGAAGCAATTTGATTTTCAGCCTGTCAAAGCCTGTGATACCCATAAACTGATAATGTAGTATTTTGAATAATATAAACATAGTTTTTTTTTTTACCGTGTATATACTTCAATGCAAAAAAAAACCCATTTAAGAAGCCAATTATATTAGAGTGAGAAAAAAAAAGTTTTATTTTTTTAATAAATTTGATGTTATTTTTTAAAAATAATTATATTTAATTGGTTTATTTTTTTGTTAGCTCTCCTTTATTGATTTTTTTTAAGATATGTAGGAATAATTTTTAGGAGAGAGAAAATATATTTTAATATTTTATTTAGCATTCCAGCATATAAACAAGCACGAAAGCGATAAAATAATATTTTTTTTAGTTTTGGCATTCCATTTAGCATTCCCTTTGGAGTTCTATAAGAGGTATACATACAAGTTGTTTTAAAGCAGCAACCATTATACTACGTTCTCTGATTTGTTTCCAGCTTACTATTATCAGTCACACTCCGATTTCGCTACTCCTTCGTTAGTTGACTTGACAGTAATCTGCTTTCTCCTTTTCTGTGGATTCTACTGAAAAGAGGTTTACCTTGCTCTTAAAGGCTGAGAGAGGAGAATGTAAACAAGAACTGTGCATATATTGGTATTCGTGTTCGTATTCCTAAGATATATAGATCATGGAAAGATTAATAGCTATATGAAGTCATGATTAAGAACATTAACAAGTTTATTTAGTAGGGCTAGCATAAACTAAAGGTTCCTGAGCGGTCAATGAGTATCTGTCATTTCTAAATGGAGATACGTTACAAACAAGCTATATGGTTTAACAAATATTTTTATAGAACAAGTTGGCCCCTAGAAAGAGGATTGGTCATGACAGACAAGCATAATAACTAAAATATATTATAACTTTTGATTCGGTAATTGAATTTGATTTAAATTTTTATAAGAAATTCTTGAGATCCAGTTTTAAAGGGTAGTCCTTTAGCAGTTAATCCACTATACAGATTTTTCAAAATTAGACTCTGAATATCTTGTTTTGTCAAATTTCCTGGATTTCCTCATATTTCTTATGCTATTTTGGATTTTATATTATTGTCTTTTATGTTTTAGAATTTTGATAGAGGTTGGTTTTTCTAGGCTATAAAAGACATTATAAACCTTTTTAAGAGGAGATATCACTTAGACTTTATTTCAGAACAATAAATTGTTAATTTAGGATACAAGCTTGCATCCCTTTTCGCTCACCAAATCTATATTTTCTGCGATTGTTTTACTATCTTTGTGCTTCATCCTGCATCAAATGCCTTGTCATTTCCGACACAGCATGATTTCTTTGCCCCAAGTACCTGCTGTTGGAGAACAATCACTAGCTGGTCTTGTTGCTGGAGCTTTAGCTTCTTCGCAGGCGAAAGGTAGGATATGGTGGAACAATGCATGGACCCTCTGTGATTAACCGATATTTCAGACACGTAATTCATCGCAAGGGATGCACTATTGTAGTCAAGAGTTTCTAGGCTTGGAAAAAACCCCTCTCTGCAATTTCTCTTGCATTGACTGCAGTGACCAATGTAGCATCAGGAAGGCAATGGAAGACCTTTCTCTTAGTATCAGCAAGTTCGTGCTTAGCTGGAGCTTATGCATGCTCAGCTGCTATTGCAAATAATGAACACAACAAACTTCATAAGCACGCACATGAGGTTAATTGTAAGTAGCACAAGATTGCACTTCTTGCAAGTTTCTATAATTTCAGGTCAGGAAAATACTTGAAAGCTTCATAGGTTCTCAAGATCATGGACAATACTGTCAAATGAAGGTCCTGGTATTGTATCAATTCTCCATTCATGTTCTCAAGATTTTTTCTTGGACTCTACTTTTCCAAGGAATGCCTTCGTTATTTGGCACCTTTGAATTAAGCTTGTTCAATTACTCGCAAAGAAAGCTGTTCTGTAGTGTTACTGGCATGCGATGACTTTGTACTGGGTTGCCAGAGCAACAATTAGCCGAATCGAAGCGAAAGAAAAAATATTAAGCGAGGAAACTCAAAAAACAACTTACTAACAAGAACATTTACTGGACAACTTTCAAGTACTAGATCAGCAAAAGTTTCTATAGTTTTACTCCTGTGATTTAAGGGATGAACATCCTGCCCCATGTAACAGATATGCTATATTAACTGCTACAACCTATATCATAAACGTTGAAGCTACAAAACCTTACCCAGCTTGATTCCAACCTGGGTTAGAGACTTGAGACTATGTTTCAATCCATCATTATGAAATATCATACAGTCTCAGAGAAGTCCAAAGATCCTGCTATCAGCTTATTGGTTCTTGAGCATGGAGAATTTTTGTGAAAGTAACGAGGTCATATATTTTGCAAAAATAGATAGAATGCCAAAGAAAACAAATAAAAAAAAAATGCGGTCGCCAATGAGCTTCCCCACCCATTTCCAGCATTGATAAGATCAGCTCATGTGCAACAGACCAGTTCGACATCGAGTTAGCAGGTCACCTATAACGTCAAGCTTTTTTCCCCTAAACTGAGCTAGGTAAATTTTCTTTCAAAATAAGTTGATCCAAAAAGTTCATATGCTCAATCACAGGAAAACACAGAACGCAAGTCTATAATGCTCAGAATTCCAGCTTTAGATATATCTTCATTGGTTGGGAGAATCTATCAAAACCTTGAGCAGAAACTTGAAGGTGTGAACATCCGGGCACAACCAGAATTTTTCATAATACTAACGGATTATTACGTCAGTATTTAGACACTGATTTTATTAAAAAAACATATACCGACAAAATCACGGATAGTAACTGGTCATTAAAAAATTTATCGTTGATGATTTTTATGTTGTCAACCAATCTATCAATAATATAATGACCGATGAAATCACGGGTGAAAAGGATAAAAAAATTACGTAGTATGTTAAGCCTTAACTTGCACCTCATGGTAGGTTTGCAGCCCTTGCAGCAACATCCATCCCCATAGTTTTCCTCCATTGTTCATCTGTGCTACATCTTATAAAAGTGAAAAAAAAAACAAACAGTACTAAAAGTGTTATCAATCCCTAAGATATAGTTATAAAATCTGATTCAAGGTTTAACTTAGTCTTTCAAAGATTAGGTCAGGTGGGTTAATCTACACAAGCTTTTTAAAAACAAAAACGAAAGAACTTCTTTTGAAAAAAAAAGACCCGGACAAGATCTTACAACAAGGCCCCAGGAATTTAGAACTCAGGCATTTTTTCACTTTATTCTTTGTCTATGGCAGGGATGTCATCCCCGTACAATAATCACCAGCTAACTTCCTGGGGCCTTGTTGTAAGATCTTGTCCGGGGATGACATCTCTGCCATAGACAAAGAATCGTACACTTTATTCTGGTGCACAATTCGAAATCCATACATCCAAATGCCTGAGTTCTAAATTTAGAATGACCGATAGATTGGAATTTCAAAACCAAGGAGCATAACAGAGTCGAGATTTCAAACTTGATTGGAACTCCTACAGATTGGTTACTGTGAAACACGATTCTTTTAGATTCAAATAAGCACAAATTTGATGATTTTCAACTAAAAGCACACAACATTATGGCCTCAAAACTTACGCCAACAATCCTCCTTTTCCCTAGCACTATACTTTGAGCAACCTCAACTTTTGTCAAGCTTCCTCGTAGTAGCCACGTGCAGTGACTACCATGTGCAAAGTGGGAGGTTAGGTATTCCTACTTGCATATGGTGGGATATTGATTGTCTCCACTAACAATCTCCCACTTGGAGACAAACAATAAAATTATCTTTTATCCTTGAAAACCAACTGAAATTGTGTACAACTTCAGTTTATCAAGTGTAACTCCTTTGGTTAACAAGTGAGCTGGATTCTTGCTTCCACAGATCTTTTCTAGCAGTAGTTGTTCATCATCTAGCAATTGTCGGATGAAATGATATTTGATCTGAATATACTTAGTCCTGGAGTGAAATGCTGGATTATTGGCAAGGAAG